TCTCTCTCTCTCTCTCTCTCTCTCTCTCTCTCTAACTGGGACTGAAGGCTCTTCATTTGCAGCAGACCATCATCACCTTGTTTGTCTAGATCCTGTATTTTCTTGTGGATTTTTCTTTATTAACTATTTTGCAAGCAGCTATATTACTTTGATCTAGGCACCTCTGTAATTATCTACTTTCACACTGAATGTTTGCATTTTGATACTTAACATTAAAAAGTGGAGTTACATGTTTTTTCTTCCTTTTAATCAATCTCCTGTGAGAAAGATTTATTTTCCAAATGGGAAAGGGCTTAATCTTCTGGTAACTATTCCATTTTGCAGCATAGCCAGGAGGTGAGATTATAGAATTTATTTCGACTTTTGCATTTTGACTTTTAATTGCTAGAAAGGCAACACTGGGTGATGTGAAAGTCCTATCTTTCTTGCATATTAAGGTTAGGGGATAGATGTCCCCTTCCAAGACGCTACTTGGAAGATAGGTGACAGCCCCAGAAATTACCAAGCTACTACACCACAGCAGGATGTGGGACCAGGATATGAAGACCCAGAGGATTTGGGCAAAGGAGGTTTGGGGCATCCAGTGTTCCACCCTGTGGGACTCAGCAATCACCGTATCAGTAAAATGCAACATCTAACAATTAGTGTATTCCAGACCATCTCGAAAATGAGGGCTGGAGTTGTGATAGGTGCATTAGAAGGATCTCCCTAACTGCTTTTTTATGATGAGGGATGGAGTTGTGATAAATGCATTAGAAGGATCTCCCTAATTGCTTTTTTATGATCTCATAAAATCTCATAATAAAGAGGCCAGTTGCTTAGCTGGCATTCTGAAAACTAACATGCCATTTAGTTAGGATGTAGCACTGTAATGAGATTTCTATGAATTTTGGCTTCATAAAATTTAAAGCTCACATGGGTGCAGAAAAACATGAGAATATTTTAATATTAAATTTAATATTAGTATTAAACTGGAAAGCAACTTAAAGTCAAAATATTGCTGTTTATAGATAAGCCTTACCATTAAACACTCTTGTAACCCAGCGAGCCTGAAGTTCTGCTGCTGGTAGAACAGATCCCATTGGCAATATATAGCCTATAAAGGCAAGTGTGGGCTTCTGCAGATGAGGAGGGAATATCTGTTTATAAAGAAACGTACTGCTTTTGCAAACGTTGCGAACAGATTCTTCCAGGAAGAGAAATGAAGCAGTATAGCCTGTAGTAAAAATGACCACATCTATGTTTTCTTCCACAGTTCCATCTTCAAATATGGCAGAAGACTCAGTAAACTTCTTCACGTTTGGCTTTACAACTACCAGACCACAGAGGATGTAGCTGGGCAGTGTGTCATTTAAAATCACACATGAAAGTGAACTGTTAAAAAGAATAAAAGTAGAAAGAAGCACTGTTAGCTCAACTATCCCCATTTGCCTATTTCCATTTTCACATGCTACCTGTTTTGCTTCTGAGAGATTGTACCTGTTCATTTTGCCTGCTGCACAGGCAAAAATTGCCAGCATACCTTTTTACTCCCACCACCTCCCTTAAGTGCTTGTCTAGATATTAAACACTTCTGAATGTCAGCTAGGTCTTCAGCTAGGTCGAGTGAGATAGCAGATAGAAGACAGCAGAATTCTGATCCTAGTCTGGCTTCCCATCAGGTGCCACAGAAACTCCATTTCTTCCCCCTTCTATTTTTGTCTCAGTATGTTTCAGTATGGCTAGGCATAGAGTGTCTTCCAAGTGAGATATTTTTATCAGCAAGAGAAGATATGAGAAGTGATCCTACTATGGTAGTTGACTGGCTGGCTGGCCAGCAGCTGGGCGACCAACTTTTTAACAAGTCAGGCTGAATATAGTGGTGACAGGTTTAGTACAGGGGTGTATAGATATAATCTCTTCTTTGTGAGATCAGAAGTTCTCCTAAACTTTCTAAATTACTTTCTTTTAATCATCAGTATGCTAATGATGCCCAGCCTACAGCGAGCCAGTATTACATTTGCAAGAGCCTTAAAACTCTTACCCAATGTGAAGTATTGCTTTATAAATGCAAATCCAATATTTAAAAAAACCCAAATTTATTGCACAATTTCAGTTCAACAATCTGCTCTTTTGGGAAAACAAAAATAATTGTGTGGGTCATAAGCAACAAGTGTCCTAACATGGATTTGAGAATTCTTCAGGAAAGTAGTTCACACTTTCATTGCTTTGGGAAAAGGCTCAAGGACCAGCAAATAATCCAGCTAGTGATTTTACAGTATAGATTTCCCTTGAAGAAGAGCAGTTTGTTAAAAAATGCACTGGGAAAAGAAAGTTTGTCAACAGATCCTTGTCCTGCAAGTAGCCAAGTTAGTTGTTACTTATCTGCAGACCTCATCTTTTGTAAACTCAGCATTTTGGCAAATACAATTTAATTCATAGTAAAAGAGATTACCTGTTAATAGGGATCAATCCATAATTCTTATGGTTAAACCATTTGTTGAATTTGTTTGCGAAAAACTTGTTTGTAATGCTTGCAGGAAGAAGTCTTTGAAGGGAGTTAAAAAATCGAGTTTGGAAGACCATATCATGAGGCCAGCCATTTGAAATGCGACTCATCACCCATGCTCCATTTCTGGTGCTGAGAAAGACCTAAGGGACGAAAAACTGAAAAGATCATTCTTAGGGACCCTCAACTGCTGATGAGTGGGAACTGATCTAGTCTAGCAGTAAAAGGTTGAAAGGAGGTTAAATCCTTTGGAAGATAGACAGCATTACCAATACATTCAAAAACTAAAACATTAAAACAATATACTATGGAAGTACATGATATAGAAGAGCAATATTATATCAGGTTTAAAACTAAGAGATTTGAGAATAATATGACCCACTAATACATAACTTATATGAGGCTACAAAATTTAGCAAGCTAAAAACGTTTGGCAATATTTTCAAGAAAGAAAGAGGTAGAAAGCGTGGGGGGAGGGGGAAATCATTCTGAAATAGTCAGGGAACTCTTTGATTGCATCATTATGATGGGTTAGAACTGGAACATTCAGGTGAGGGGTGTAATCTTTCAACCACTAGGTCCTTTGTTTGGATTTTGCAGCCCCGAAATAGTTTGCTGAACAAAGCCTTTAGACATATACTTAGAAGGGAAAAAAGACAGCTGGAGTAGCACCATAAAAACATAAAATGACAGCTTTCAGAAGATGTAAGGTGCTTAGGCCAACTTTGTTGAAATAGCTATGCCAGTCATGATCAGTGACAGAGAGATGAAAATACTGTAGTAATAAAAGTTGTAATGTTTATCTGTCACGCACTTGGCATATGAATCCTCATGAAAGGAAGAGTGAAAGAGAAAGGAAGAGTGAAAGAGCACCAGATAGGCCGCGTCTTTGCCCTAGAGATATGGCAGAACCATGTTTCACTGCTTCTGACTCTGTTCTTGTGAACTGCATCTTGTATGATGATGAAGATGCCAAGATGATTTCTTATTTCCTACTGAAGAGACAAATGAGCAAAGCAATCATTGGATGGGCAAATGATACCTTGGCAGCTGTGTGGCTCACTTCCACAGCAATATCCCCTCCAGTGTTCCCAATACCAACTACCAGAACCATTTTGCCCTCCAAGCCTTTGGGCTCTCTGTATTCCCAGCTATGCATGTAATGACCTTTAAAGTTTTCCAGTCCTGTAAAATGACAGAGAGAAAGAAGACAATATTTCTCCCCTGACAATAAAACATTCCTTTTCATCATTACCAGCTACTCAATACAGCGCCAAAGGTTTCTTTATTAAACTAAACAGTGTTTGTTCATATATACCAGAGGCTATCTGCCAAAAGAGTTAAGGGAAATACCATAGCAAGAGGCCTCTACATGGCCCCATTTTTTAATTGAAAGGGAATTACATTGTACAGTAGGTAAGATGGCTGTCCAGCACACTGGATTTAATCCCCAAAAGAGGCTTCAGAACATGTGTGAGTGCAAATGTAGCACCTCTCTGCAACAACTTAAAATGTCCTTTCTTGTATCCACCTCCTTGATATTCTACTTAAGAGTTTTATCAGATCTACATTATCAGATCTACTCTACTGTAAATGGGGACTGATGTCCCTCTGTTTTCTTTCCATGTAAAAAGGCATCCTGTGAGACAGATTTCTTGTTTTATTGCCTGTAATGCCATTTAAATTCTACTGCCTGATTGTAATGATCCATTTCTCATCTATGGAAAAAATGAAGTCCAAAAAGGATATGACAGGAATTGTATAATTCTGAAAGCATAAATAGCTACCATGGGTGGAAATGGGCTGGACTCAGACAATAGATGAGATAAGGTGGCTTTAGGTCTTTATCCCCGCTGTGATCCCCATTATAATTGCTTCTCTGCCCTCTGGGTCTGCTATTCTTCATGGGAGAGAAATCTCCTTTTGGAATCAGTGTCATTCTTCCCATTGAAAATAAGTCGGCACATGGGGAAGGCAGCAATTCTTATATGGCAAGAACATGTAATAAAGTCCTTTTTGCTCAGTGCCGCAACCCAGACCCCGTAACTTTACATCTTCCCCACCGCCAGGAGTGCTGGCTATTTATTGTTAAAATTATACATGAAAGGTGACTTTAGTGTGGTCCAAGACAGCTCCAAGATAAATACTGTAAAATGAATGCCAGTGATTGAATACCTTAAGAGTTGTTTTGGCATGTTTCTTCTGTTAATCCCCTATGGAGGACAATGGGAAGACTATTATTATTTTAAGTTGGTGTATAGCTGGTCACTGAAGTCTCATGGCAGTTTACAATAAAAAAACTTTAACATCAAAACAATTAAAATAACAATTAAAAGCCAAAGAAACAAGTTAAGTAAAATGAATAATTAACAATTAAGCAACAGTAAGAAGCCAAGATGTTTTTTTAAAAAAACAAGAGGGTTTTTAAAAAAGTTCATGGAAACATTAGGACCCTGAACTCTGCAGAAAGGACATTCCAAAGAATTGAAGTGGCAACCAAGAAGATTTGACCCTGAGTCAATGCCAGATGACACCCCCCTCCCCATAAGTAAACCTCATCATTACTCTCAGCAACTGTGGAAGTTCCTAGAGAAAAAAACATTCTCTCAAGCAACCTAGGCCTAGGCTGTGTAGTACTTACACCCAACACTTTGCATTTTGCCTTGAAATGAACAAGCAGCCAGTGCAATACTTTGAGCACCCATGTGATATGGTCTCTTTGCATTTTCCCCCAAACCAGCTTGGCTCTTGAATTTTGTATCAACTGAAGTTTCTAGACTAAACACAAAGGCAGCCCCACATACAACATGTTACCTTTGTCAAGCCTAGAGGTCACCAGCATGTGTATTAGGCTTATGGTCATTTTTGTCCCCCAAAAAGAATACCCTTAGCTTTCTCATGCATGATCAAATAGCGGATTATCTGTTTTATTCTGAATCAACCTGGCATTACAAAACAGCAAGATCAGGTTTTTCGAGGGGTGGAACCACAACTGCATTAGCTTATGTGTATTTAGCAAATTTGTTCAAACTTACCAGGAAAAGAATGTAGGGGTTCATTAACTTCTGCATAATGGCCACTGCAAATCATAACTGCATCGAAGACGGCTGATGCCCGTTGCCCATTAGCCTCAGTATGAACCACCCATTGTCCGGTACTTGTGAAATCTGGATGTTTTCTGATGCTGTATACCACAGTCTTGTACAACCCCCAAAACAAAACAGAGTAACTCCACATCATTATAGAGTGATGACATTCCCAGTATTGCTGTTATTTTATGTTCTACTGAGATATTTGAGGCCTAGTAGATAAGAGGATACAAATTCTCAAAATCATGAAGCTAACAAGCTAACTGAGTACTGGAGCACTCAGAAGAAATTCTTGGTTCAGTAATCTCTCTTTGCTATCCATATCTAGCAGAGATTGTGTGTCCCTTTTCCTATCTAAAGCCAATTGACGTTTTAAACTCCAGATTTTTACGTTCTGGCATAACCCACTCAAAGGTTGTTGCACACATGATCAAAAACACTATATTTCTATGTATTGTATAGGGGTTAGAGGGCAGACTGCAAGGATGGTATATTTTTTTCATGCCCTGCTTATGAGTTTCCCAGAGGCAGTTGCCTGGCTAATGCCAATAGCAGGATGTTAGAGCAGATGGTCTCTTTGGTCTAATGTAATGGAGTTCTAATATTTTTAACATATCACAGTGGTTGAAATGTCACTTAACAGCTACAGCCCTTTCCTATTCTGACTGTTGCAGAAATATCTGACTGTTAATTTCCCGCTCACCTTAAACTGAATGCAGTCCAGAAGGTGGAAATGTTTAGCGTAATCCTTGAGGTACTCCAGCATCATGGAGTGGTGCATATAGTTAGGACAACTTTCTGGAAATGGGAAGTCACTGAAGCAGGTCATTTCCTTGGCTGTATTGGTCACCAATGATCTGTGAACACTGGTCCTTTCCTTTTCAGGAATTTCCTGTACAATGGTAGTACATATGAAGTATAGTAAAATGTTCATAAGCCTTTAAAATCACTTTTGAAAGTATTTTGCATTGCAACCTACTATTTACATGTAATCTGGTTTTAGCCATGGGATAAATCTGGTTTTATCTAACTTTGCTGATCATTGGTATGTAGCTATGTTTATATGTGGTTTGCAACCTTGAATTTTCATATTATTTTGCAATCATGTTTTAATTAGATCTGTGTTTGTGTATTCATTTGTTTTCATTATGTGAGAAGGCAGGGAGAAGTGAGGGCCTCAAACGAACCATGTTTGCTAGGGGAGAGCGCGGTGCCCCATGGGGCAGCCCTGGGGGGGGCGGCAGGAGGGAGGATTAGAAGGCACACTCACACCAGAGTGGAGAGGGACGGCAGGAGGGAGGAT